CCAATTACCTCCAGTAATTTAGCGAGAGAGCCTCACGCAGGTGCGGCTGCCGTGATTTAAGGGACTTATATTAATAACGCCTTCGCAACGGCAATATCGAAACATTTTCATACACATGCATTTATACATGTGCATGGAACCGTGGAGGAAGTGCGTGCGTTATGTGTTTTTTTAATTATTATTAGGAAACTTAAATGTACAATTCGCATCCTTGCGTACAATAACAAAGCAACACTCTACCTATGTAGGTAGAGTGTTGCTTTATTATTATACGCTAGGATCACTAGATTCCTAGAACGGCATTCAGTATCATTCCGATGTCAGCGGCCGAGTCCGACGTATCCGACACAACCGCCAATGTTACCGTAACTTAAAGAAAAAATATTCGCAAGGAAGAAATAAGTTATACAGCAGTTTATACATCACTACATAGTATAAAGCAAAGTCACGTCCCGCTGTCTGTCCCTATGTCCCTATGTATGCTTATATCTTTAAAACTACGTAACGGATTTTGATGCGGGTTGTTTTAATAGATAATATAGTAGAGAAATACTGATAATTTTAGAGGTTTTTAATGTAAAGTCTTAAATAAACTCATTTTTTTGCGCTTACATTGCAAACGCTGACTACGAGATAGATCAAAATAATGTATGTACACCTTAAAAAGGTCTACAAAAAATACCGCGATGGGATATGTCTATCTCTTAGGGATAACCCACAGTAACCAATTTTTTATTCTATACATTTTACAAGAAATAATAGCTTATTTACGAAGCGATTTTCAGTAATATAACATTCATCCTTAACCAATTAAGTACCTTAAATACATTGTGTATTTAATACAGATCAATTTGGCCCTTTAAAGCATGTAATTTAAATGAATATTTTCGAAGATATTGCAAATTTTAAAATGCATGAACATAGCGGTTCCGACGCTACCGGGCGGGGGGCCTGGCGGCGCGTGCCTATTGTACTTAGGTATAAGAAGAATTGCATTGTGTTTAATACAAGCCTGAGAACATAAACTATTGTCTACACTTCAGCTCTACACCGAAGCGAAGCGAGGGCGGGTCACTAGTTACATATATAAGATGATGATGACATGTCTGATGTCGACTAGGCCTAGTTGAATTTATTGCAGCATTTTTTTAGATTAATAACGACTAGTGCTTAAAATTAAAAGTCCCTGTGGTAAAAGTGGTGGTAAGAGATCCCACGATTGCATTGACTTTCTTGTTTTTGTTTTTAACTTTAGTCTGTTTTATCGCAATATAATATATGTTTTTATAGGATGTGGTTTTCATTTTATGTTTTTTTCATCTCAAACTAAAGTTTTTGCAGTAAAAGATGGAATTTTTGTTTGCGTGTACATAAATTTTACAGTTTCGGAAATGTGCTAATCAAATAGGTACTTCAACTTTATATCCTATTTGTATGAAATAAGAAGAAAATATAAATTATATTTTACATATTTTTTTATTATTAATATATTTTTGACGTGACAACGTCTTAAATTAGGTTGCGGCTGGGAGTCACTTATGAAAAAGTGTAACGCTCGGTAACGTTACGATGAGTTTAAGTTTACATGTACAATGTTTTAGTAAACAAAATATATTTCTATAGTTAAAATTTGTGCAATTCTTATTTTCATTCAATTCCTTGTTCCTATTGTGCAATTTAATTATATTCATATCAATAAATATTCTACCGAGAAAAAGACGTTGTCACGTAAAATCTTCGCCCGTAAAACCGACTTTACAGGCAACCATTTTTTTATTCTAGTAAACTTTTATTTAGATTTAAACATCTAGCAGTTAAAAATTAAAAACATAACTATAATTGCTATTTCTTCTTTCAAATGTTTAATACTTGTAAAGGTATTCATTTGACATTGTGGGTTACCTACAATGCGAAGAGATGGCGCTGCCTTGCAGCCTAAGGCTAGAGAAAAATTCGACACGGCCGTCAGGGCCGCGGTAGCATAATGGTCAGTGCATTCGCCCGGATAGCGAAGGGTGTCGGTTCGAGTCCCGTCTGCTGCCTGGTCCTCGTGGATTTTTTTTTCTAGTAAATTTTTCTTTGGATTCAAACATCTAGCAATTAAATGCTTAAAAATTAAAAACAAACATTACCCTAAATTTAACAAACAGTGCTATCTTGTAATTTTTTAAAAACTTGACGAGTCGAAGTCGAGTACGAAGCCGCCACCATGTCTGTCCAAGTACAGAATCAGCAAACAAGTCCCATACCGTTGCATCGTGGAGTGAGACAAGGGGACGTTATTTCCCCGAAATTGTTCACTAATGCAATGGAGGATATGTTCAAGACGCTGATCCGGAAAGGACGCATCTCTCACTTGCGATTTGCAGACGACATCGTCATCATGGCAGAAACCCTGCAGGACCTACAAAAAATGTTGAATGACCTGGCTGACTCTTCTATACGCATCGGCCTACGGATGAACTTGGATAAATCCAAGGTCATGTTCAATGAACATGTTCTACCGGAACCGATTGCAATATACGGTGCCGCTCTCGAAGTTGTTCAAAAATATGTATACCTCGAGCAGACATTGCAGTTGGGTAGAAACAACTTTGAGGACGAGGTGAATAGAAGAATTCAGCTGGGTTGGGCAGCGTTTGAGAAGCTACGTCTATTGTATGCTATGAGGACCGCGGTCCCCCTAGTGCATGCCGAGAGGGCGGGTGTGGTCGCGGCTCCCGTTTCCGAATGGCCGCGCACCCGCCAGGTTACTCTAGCCACCTTAGTATTGTGGTTCTACATCTTGACGACTTTAAGGAACGTAGATTGCAAACTGCTGTGCTGTTCTGTAAGAAGAAACTCACTTTTGACCGCGGAATCCACAATTGTTTTGTAATTCGAATACGAATTTTTAAATGATTTGAAATTCGTATTCAAATATCAAACCACACTGCAAAGTCCGCGGTGAAATTCAGTTTGTTCTTATAGAATAGCACTGCAGGATTTAATACTCCTAGCACGAACTTTTATCGAATTCGAAAAGTTTGGGAGTCCAAAATGTCATTGTCAAAGGACATTGTTCAGCGTCCATACATAGTTAGCCTAAGAACCAACAATCATGAAATATTATTTTCTAGGTTCAAAATCGTAAGTAAATGACTGTAAAAACAAAGGTTATTGACGGACACTTCTGAGAACTTAAATTATCAGGAAAACTATTTTTTTTTGAGGTTATGTTTAATATTCAATGAAACATAGGTCAACCTATGAATTTAGTATAAACTCAGTATGAAGTGAATTAATATTAAAACTAATTCATTTTATTCGGTGCGATTTTAAAGCATAACTATTAGGAAAAACTTGGTTAAGTAGGAATCATGAATAAAATAAAAACTGTAGTTTTGCTCCATAATTATTGACTATTTTTCACATAATTGTATCATATTGTTTATTGTATTTATTTGTATATCACATGTAGGTTTATTGTGTAAATATGCAGCGTGAATGTGTATCAGGTGTTCTTGATAATTTGGCAGTATGATCCTCTCAGGATGTTATAGCACAGGTTCACTAGCACTTGGTAATAAGGGCTCTGCTCTTTGGTAACATCGATGGCATATTAGATAGCCGAAATAGTTAAATTAAAGGAAAAACAATCGCAAATAAACACACACAACAGGTAATCCGAAACGAGAATGCACTTTGCGGTATAATATACTTCTCTTTGGAATGCACGAATGCCACAGATTACTACGAATGCAAGCTGCTTGCACCACAACCACAGAGTAACGAGTTTTATGCCGGTCCTTCACTTGACAACAGTTTGTCCTTATCATGCTTAATAAGGAATTAAAAGGACAGACTGATGTCATGTTTTCAAATAGCAAATACGAATAGCCAAGTGAAGTCCCGGCATTAGGAAGAAAGAGTGTTTTGTTTGCAGCGCTGCCATAGATTATACACATAAAATGGTATTTATTGTCTCAGATTATTTCTTAACTTTTCAATTTAGCTTTCTTAACTGGAAGTGTCCGTCACACTCTAAATACTGATAATTAAAGCAAAAAATATACTAAGAATTATCATAAATGCCAAATTGGTGTTGGTTCTTAGGCCAATTTTAACATTGTCCTTTTGTATGGAAACTTGAACAGCAGCGCCACAAAGTACGTCATGAGAACTAAAAATCAATACACATTTGACAATGACTTTGACTTTTGAATGATGAATTTGACGACCTCCGTGGCCGAGTGGTTTGTACGCCGGGTTTCATGGTGTCGCCGACTCGAGAGGTCCCGGGTTCGAATCCCGGTGGGGGCAGATGTTGTGTGATGAACACGAGCATTTTTATTCCAGTCATGGATGTTTAAATACTTATTTCTATATAAATATACTTATATATATAAAGTATATGTATTCTATCCGTTACCCTGGCATCCCATAACACAAGCCTTACAGTACTTACTTTGGGCCTAGGCTAATTGGTGTGAGTGTTGAAAATATTTATTATTATCATAATGACATTTCGTACTCGCAAACGATACGAATTCCATATTGGTTCGTGCTAAGGGTACAGTACCCTTAGCGAATTCGATATTGGTTCGTGCTAAGTACCCTTAGCGAATTCGATAATGGTTCGTACTAAGTGCACAGTACCCTTAGCGAATTCGATAATGGTTCGTGCTAAGTGTGCAGTACCCTTAGCGAATTCGATAATGGTTCGTGCTAAGTGTGCAGTACCCTTAGCGAATTCGATAATGGTTCGTGCTAAGTGTGCAGTACCCTTAGCGAATTCGATAATGGTTTGTGCTAAGTGCACAGTACACTTAGCGAATTCGATAATGGTTCATGCTAAGTGTACAGTACCCTTAGCGAATTCGATAATGGTTCGTGCTAAGTGTACAGTACCCTTAGCGCATTCGATAATGGTTCGTGCTAGGGGTACAGATTATAAGATTCCCCTGTTTGCTAAAACCCAAGTAGCACTTAAGAAGAAAGGTCATAAATAAAACAGCACATTAGTATAAATCAGATTGCTTTAATTTATTTTAGTTTTATACAAATCGAATACTACTTACGATAGTCAATTTTAACGAATAATCATTTTACCCGTCGATTTTATTATTTTACAAATTTACCTTTGTATTTTTAGTTTGTCATGTATTACAAAAACCTCCATAGGGGCTTCACCTTATAAACTTACATTACACACGGTTGTATTAATCAACTTACTGCAGTCGTATAATTTATTAATTTTAATTATATATCTCGACTATGGTTAAGCCACGAGAACACAATGTGGAGTTATGATCACAAAGAAAAGTATTCGAGTGTGAAGTGAAGCTACGATTACTTTGGTCTTAAGTACGAGCATGATTCTCAGGTTCGCTATTTTCAAAACCATAAGGTTATAAACACAATGATGTGGCGGTTACGACTTTCTGTTGTGGAAAAAAACAGAGCTTAAATTAAATCTCTTTTAACAAAAACTTGCATATCCAAAACGACTAAAATTGTGTTTTCTAATACGAAGCAATATAGTTAGTCGGTCATATTGAATTTGCCAAAACTTATGCTGTCCTTTTTTTACTTATAAATATATTCCATTGATGATAACGAACCTTTTCTAGCGATAAGAATATCTATGATAACTACGTGTGTTTCAAGTGAAGCGACAAGTAAGCGAGCAACAACGGGTGTAATGTGTTAGTTCAAACTACTCTACTTAGTGAAGTTAAGTTATGATGTCGATCTTAATATTAAGTGGCTTGCAGTCATCAACAATAAAATAAAAATGTATAATCAAAATACTTTTTCTTTTTCGAGTGCCTATGTTATTCATATTAACATAAATGAAAGCTGCTACTACTCAGAACTAATAATATTATGTATAAAATAGTTCACCCGGGAGAAAACCTCGGAGACACTTCATAGTTGTGAACTTATTTTTAACGATAAGTACTCCTATCATAAAAACAACGTGTCGCAAGTGTCAGTAGTAGAGAAGATGTAGTTATTACTCAATGAAAATGACGATGACCATCGTACAATTTCGTATAGTTAATATTGACCCCAGAAGAACAAAAGAGCTTCTAGTTGACATGATATAGAGAGACATTATTTCAACATTGTTATTTAGTAAGTATTTCAATCACTTTCTAAAAAACTTTGTTTCCACTAGTTACCAACCTATGATTTGCAGGGTACAGACAATATTTCCTCATAACTTCTGACCTAGTGAACATGAACATGATATATTGTTGTATGAGTAATACGGGGAGCCGCTACAAAGCTGCGTGGGCGATACGCTTTGATCCAGGGCAGCAATTTGGGGAATGGCGATAAGGCAGGAGCATGCTCCGTGTTTGATGTCGAGCTAAGCCTCACCGTGAAATGATTAGGTGGAATAATATTGGGGATCACGGACCGTGAAACTGATCTCTAATGGAAAGGGGATAAGAAACTTTATGCAAGTTTTTCAATAATCAAGTTATGAGATTTTTGGTACTGCATTATCATAATGATGTTTCTTTTGTAGTTTATTATAGGTACTTTACGAATATATTATTATTTATATTATGATAGTACAGAGTAATCCAACTGCTTGTTACTTCGTTTTTGTGTCGCGTTCCATTCAATATGGAACCTTACTAAGTGGACATAGTGTTTAATAAGATCAGTTAAAATTCCGAATGTTTTAACTAATTAGGTAACTGTTAAAAATACAACAAATAATTAAAAGAGTGAGATGCCACTAGGCTGTGACGATTTTTGACTTAAGGTCAACGCACCGAATTTTGTATTGTGGCCAATAATAACCTCCCATCCATCATCCTGTGACATCATTGCCATATTGAGAACTATTTGCTATATATTGAACTATGCGGGAACCATATTCTCGTTGCTTGATGCAAACAATCAAACACTTGACAAACACCGATACCACAATCACCCAACATAAACGCACATCCCCAGGTTTGGTGACCATCCTAGTATAGGTATTACGGATAGACAAAAATATTCTATGATCTGTGCAAAAAACCGACACCGATGCCGATCACTGACGAACATTGACATGCAAACAGTCATCTACACGTTTGTATATGTTGTTTGTGTCCTTGTGCACCTTTAAACATATTCTAATTTAAAAAAGAGAAAGTATATGTATCTATTTCGCTTATCCAATAAAAATGAAACAAAAATATCCTTGATGATCGCAAGCCAACGTTGAATTTCAAAAATTGAATAATGTAAGGTACGATGCCGTGTTTAAATAGCTTATACAAGTACATTGTAAAATTATACAAGAGTAAGTGTCGAAATCGATTTAAAATGGTAATAGTAAACTACAGAGTTCAGATTAAAGTAAGATAGATGTACATGAGCCTCCAAAATACCTGTTTCAAGATTAAAGCATTATGTTACTGTTGTGCAGTATGCGAAGTGTACAGATTTGTGCGGCGCATTTGCGAAAAAAACTGGAATTACTGGACATTATGATTAATTACTTAGTACTCTACTGGTATAACTGCAAACGAATATGATTTTTGCATATTACTGACTGAATATTGAATATTGGTTTAATGACAGCAAACGTATATGAATTTTGCATATTACTGACTGAATATTGAATATTGGTTTAATGACAGCCAACGAATATGAATTTTACATATTACTGACTGAATATTAAATATTGGTTTAATGACAGCAAACGTATATGATTTTTGCATATTACTGACTGAATATTGAATATTGGTTTAATGACAGCAAACGAATATGAATTTTGCATATTACTGACTGAATTTTGAATATTAGTTTAATGACAGCAAACGAATATGAATTTTGCATATTACTGACTGAATATTGAATATTGGTTTAATGACAGCCAACGAATATGAATTTTACATATTACTGACTGAATATTAAATATTGGTTTAATGACAGCAAACGTATATGAATTTTGCATATTACTGACTGAATATTGAATATTGGTTTAATGACAGCAAACGAATATGAATTTTGCATATTACTGACTGAATATTGAATATTGGTTTAATGACAGCAAACGAATATGAATTTTGCATATTACTGACTGAATATTGAATATTGGTTTAATGACAGCAAAAGAATATTAATTTTGCATTCAATAACTGCAGAGACTTTATAAAAAAATAAGTTGATACGTTAGTTAACGTTATTACTGTAATTATGAAATTGAATATCTCTATCTATGAATGTATACCACACGAACTGCACTCAACCTGATCTTCCAGTCAGTTTTTTTAATAATTTGGGTTGATAACTTATCAAAAATGTCACAGAAATCAAAAGTGTAGTACTTTATCTGTAATATCTGCATATTTAAGATAAAATATATTTAGAGATATTTTAATTCGACACATAGAAGAAACAAAGCAAGGAGATAATGTTAAATGGCAATAAGATACATCATGTTTTCCACTTCCCTGAATCACAAATGAGTATAAGTAAATCTTGCGCCGCACAAACACATGCAAGTACATTAATATAGAAATATTGACAGTGTGTATAAATGGTTCCTCGGTGTAAATGTGAAACTCGAAGAGTCGTGTGTGCTATGAAATATATTAAAGCAAACACATGGAATTCACACTATGATCATTCATGAGAAAAACTGCAAAATCAGAGTTGGTCCCCCGATTTTCCTGTTTTTCTGAATGTCTCCTGTTCTCCTGTTTCTCTACATGAATCTACTGTTGTAGTTGTAGTTGTAGTAGGAGTTGCGTTTTCCGCCATTATGAATGTAGGTAACCTCAAATATAATTCAATAAATATGTTATTGTAACAAAAAAAGAGCTTTTAAAGGGCGACAAAAACCATAGAAACACATTCGTTACCGGTCTATGTTTTAATTTGATTTACCAATTCTAGGTGGGGAGAGACGCAAATCGGAAAAAATACCACCCCTGCATCTACTACTTTTTCTTGAAAGAAAACATCATCAGTATTCGGAATTCATAAATACTTTAAGAGTTATTTAAAAATAGAGTGCGAAATACTTAAAAAGAAAATGGCCGCGGAGTGTTTTAAATATACACATCAGACTAGTTTGTTTACGGAATAAGGTAACGGAGGGATGAGATCGCATTAATTAAGATGCTAGTAATAATGATGGAACTTCCATGTGTTTGCCAGTACGTACTCAAGTCTCGAGTGCCGTTAAAATGTTTATCAAAATAAAAATTTCCATTCATAATAATGAAGAGAAAGACTTAGACTTGGCGTGATTTAATATCTGGAGCTGATATAAAAAGTGTATTTTTTATAAAATCGTAAACTCGAATTCTGTCGTTATTATTATTTACACAAAAAATAAAAAATAAATTGCACATAAAAAATTATTACGCTCCATAGGATACTTTACAGGTCTGCAATTTGATTTTATATTCGATCTGAAGTATATATTTGTTATATAAAAAAAATACACCTTTTACCACCTGCATTATATGCGATTGTAATCCGCTTTGCAAACGATTGTTTTTTTATTATTATTCTTGGGGCGTACTCTTTAAATAAACACTCGATGTATCGTGAACTTAGTCGTTTCGTGTCCTATAATGCAGCATTAATAACTATGGTAATTAGAGTAGGATGGACGACAACGACTATCACGTTATATTGAAAGTCAACTTTAAGAGAACATGCGTTTGATAAAAACATCAATGAATCAAATCTAAAGAAAACATTTCAAGAAAAAATTCTACGCGGACCAGGCAGCAGATGGGACTCGAACCTACAATGCGAAGAGGTGACGCTGCCTTGTCTAAGAAATACTAGAAAGATTCGACACGGCCATTAGGGCCGCGGTAGCATAATGGTCAGTGCATCCGCACGGATAGCGGAAGGTGCGGGTTCGAGTCCCGTCTGCTGCCTGATCCGCGAAAATGCTAGAAAAATTAAAAATATAACATGAATGAATTATTTCTTGATAGATAATGGTATTTTATTAATAAAAATGATAACAGTCGATTAAAACGTATGCCAATAACGCACACATAAATGTACAGTGAGCATACAGATTATAAATTATTTTAAAAAAGCTGATGTTAGCTTGTGTTCTTCTTTCCAAAAAGTGTTACAAAAACTTATCAACATTAAAAAAAATAAAAAAACACTAACTTCGTTTGCCTCAATAAATGGTAACAATGTTGCGCCGAATATGAAAAGGTGTAAATGCATTATTTTGTACGTTTAGATTTGACCCGGTCCCAAGCAGGCGTTTTGTTATTCCACTCCGTTTTAAAATATTGTTATACTATATATTTAAAATGAACGCTGGGCTGTCACTGCGTGCATTACAAATCTTTTCACAACCTGTCATTATTTTTTTTAAACAAAATAAGCTTTTTAATATTGGCTGGTAAGCTCGCATTCACAGCCCAGCAACTCGAGGTTAACATTAAATAATACGTTAACAAACATCCTAGTTCGTTTTTAATTTTTACAATAGATTCTTCAACTTTATCCTTTATTTATACCCCTATAATCCAACTTAATCTCAATATTTATAAACCCTATTTTTGGCACTAACAAATCTAATTAAATATATCAATTAATTTTACAATTTCAATTTTGCATATCGTTTCCAATGTACATGAAATATAATATTTTAATTTAAACTTTGATATAATATTATAATATTAAACAAGGTCAGATGAGTAGTAATTTACAACATAACATAACATACAGTGATTAATACGCAAATAAGCAACACTATTGTGTAATAAAGAACCAAATGGAATGTTTAAAAAACATGATATATTTTCGAGCACCATACGTACGGAATTAATTAATAACAATTATATTGAACAAATTCCCCTGGAACGCTTAAACTTATTAATTTAACAGATACATACTATATTTTATTTTACTATTTTGACATGAGAAAATCTTCGAAATATACTATACAAATTCTCTAACCGTTCTCTTATCGAAATGTTTGTTTGTTACTTTATTATCTATGTAATTCCCTTAAGAGAATGTTCAGAACATTTAAGAACCTCACACACGTCACGCCACATTCGATAAACAAAAAAAAACATACGTACTTTTTATTAAAAAATTGATTAAAGAGAACACACCGAGACTTTTAATGTTAATTATTTTAATTATCATATTATTCTTAGTGAGCTTTCTTAGTATAATTCCTTTATAACTGTAGCCTAGGGGGCACAACATTTATTAGCCTATCACGACAACTACAAGAGTGAAATCGAGGAACGGACATAGTTAAGATGAAGTATAATTGCTATCTTAAATAATATGACTATGAATATATTACAGTAGATGCTAGTATGTAGAACTACGGAAACTAGTTGTGACGTCACCGTATCACGGGATTATTGCAAGTTAATAAAATTTTTTGGAGAGCAAAATGTGGACAAGGAATTTGCAAAAGAAGTATTATGCACTTTAATTTAGAATTTAAAAAGCCAAATTATTAAACCTTTTTTTTAAATAAATAATTGGAAAGTACGCTTTTGTCAATGACTTTCATTTCTGTACAGTCTGAAAGTAAAATTAGAGTTCACACTAAATTCCAGCAGTATAGAGCCAGTTTTGTTATTTGAGTTAAGCGAAAGCTTGCTCCTTTTTGATGAACTGTAGTCAACATGCCTATTGAGGTGGATGAAAAAGCATCACACAACAAATATATCTATCTGCACACAAAAGATATTATGTTAATTATAAGAAATAGGTTTTGATCGTTTAATTTGTTAAATCAACTTTTTAATAGAAGTACAAGAAAAACTCACCAAGGTTCATCCAGCTAGTCAGAAGGAGCTTAGGAACATACACTCGGACAGAAGAAATATATAACACTTCAATAAAATTTATCGCAAATCTCACAATAACTCCATAATGCAATGACACTAACATTCAGTAAGCGCCTTTTTGAGCTACACGTCAATCACCCATACAAAAACCGAGGAATAGAGAAAAACAATATAAGTTCACTATCACATTCATTCGCTGATTTATTATTAAACACAATAGAAACATCCCAATAGACTTAAGTAAAAAGGTTTCTGTGCCGGATAATAATAATTTATAAACCGAGGAACTCATAAATCCTTAAACACTCATCGGCATTCAGGCTTTTACGGTAACGAGCTCAAAAAGTACAGCCTCGTGAAATTACGATAATTATACGAGAGTAAGTTTAGTCTTTTTTCCGCTTTTTCTAAGTTTATATACAAATACATGATCGCTTTTAATTTTGTATATACAACTATTCATCAATTATGCTAAGTAAATGAGTATTGATATCTTCTCGAATTGCAATGAAAACTTGAATTTGTCAACAAAATATACCAAACTTAAAATGCACTATGAGTCTTTCTAGTAAAATGTTGTTACTGTATAAATGCAACTTGCAACACTAAATTAATGTTCGGCAGCGATGATGGCGCAAAATTTAATTCATACGAACGTAAAATGTTATCTAATCCTATCGGAGACGGTATATTTTACATTTATAATTTAATTTATAATTCGTTTTAATTCTTCACTTCTTATTATTTTTCTTTATTTCCCTTTACGTCTGTCGCTAGTCGCTACGCAATCTTATTCTATCGTTACCTTGGTTCTTTAATTGTTGATTTTATCAATTCCACGACTGTCAGCAATTCCTTATCGACATGGGTTTCAATTCAAGTCGCTTTTCTTTTATCTTCAAACTTTACAATGTGTTCAAAACAAACTAGAGGATCCGCTAGTGTTCTTACATCATAATCTAAGTTTAGCTATTTCGACTCGACTCTACCGTTATTGATCCTTTATAAATGTTTATGTACACGTTACTTAATACCCTAAGGTAATGTCATCGTCTGTGATCCCTCATTTTCTTCTATAAAGGATACTATTACAACTCGAATTATTCTATCTTACGAGATGTACACGCGTCCCGCTGGCGTTTCGTTAAATTTACTATAGTGCACTAGTGAAAAAGTTCTCGTGGTTTTCGGATCAAATGCGAGTGATATAAAGTTCTCTCCGTTGTGCTGCCAGTTACGAAACAAATCCCAAGTATGTCCGTCATCTATGTCATTCCTGATATCCCTTTAACAGAAAGCTTTAATAATTATTATCTTTAACCGTATCAATTAGAAATATAATTATATTTTTAACAAATTATACTCATCAACATTTATCTGTATAACATCCTAGTCAACATCACAATCTTTTTTTTATAATATGTTGGACTTAACTACGCTATTTAACGTATCGAGTTATTTATATTTACCGTCTTTCGACTTAGTTAATGGAGACGTGTGCGTTTCAACCACGTATTTAGAGATAATATTATACATTAATTATAATTACATCGTTCCGCGAAGTCTAAGATTAGTTCTCTCGTAGTGACGGGTCGGGGTGGGACCCCGGGACCGCGGTGCTTACTGCACGATGATATGCGGCGCCGACAGGAGCACGGCCACCGTGGCGATGATTGTGAAAAGGGTGAACACGAAGAGACAAAACCTGAGGAGAAATAACATGAACAGATTCCTGATGTCGATACAGAATTGTTGGTGATCAATCACCTTATCGGTCACTCATAAATTGTACGTAGGTTGGGCCCTCAATGATTGATTGCTCTCTGTGAACACGGTTTGATTGTAACTCTTTATGGTAACTTTTCAATGCCTTTTACATTCGTGTTCCGAAAACAAGCAAAATCACCTCTAAAATTAATAAATCAAATTAAGCTAAAAAGTTTGCCTGAATTCTCTCTGAATGAACTAATCGATTCGATTTCGTTAAAGAAATGGAATGCGAGGGCTTTTGAAAGAAAATATTTTTAGATAATAAGAAAAAAAATGTTTATGTGATGTGATACATAATTATTTAAATTAATTCCAATTTAATCACATAAATATTTTTAAAGTTGCTTAACGCACACAACATATCGTTGTTAGATAGAAGGTTTTTTTAAGGGTACAGCCTTATCGGGTGGCGGAAAAGTGTAAACCTTCGTTCGGATAGCGCGTTCCAAGGCACGCATATCCAACTACGCGTACCCTAGAATGTGCTATCCGTATGCAGCTTTAGATTTTTCCGTCACCACCGTCAGTTGTTTCGTAGCATTAGTTGTGTACTTGAACTTGTTTATTTTTAACTTCGTTCTAGCAAAGTGTTCCAAGACACTCTCGCTTGTTTTTTAATATTTATCTTCATATACATGTATCTTAATATTTAAAGAGCTCAATAGTGGATTTGATCAACAATTGTAGAAGTTAAGCAACTTTCTCTATCAACATCAATAATTTATAAGACTTCTTCAAAGAAGGTTGTTTCAGCGAATAATGTTTTAATTAATAATTCGTAGTGTGGGTCATCACACGAAGTCGTTGGTGCAGGATGCTGTCGGTTCAGCTACACCCCGTATATCATAGTTCATTTTAGCTGAGTAACTTTGTCCACGCGAATTACAAGCGGTTCCCCTCGTTTTCATTCCCCCTGAACTTTTTTCTTTGACTACTACCTCGATTTCGTCTGTTAACATTAAATATCCTGGTGCGATGATAATTATCAGGGGGAAACGAAAACGGGGCCCGCTCGTAAACCGTCCACCCATGGACTTTAATATAGTGACGCCATAAATATCTAACCTGTCAACAACCATCGCAGCAAACTTCCAGTCGCTGATCAGCTCTGCTTCCTCGTCAGCCTTCTTCATGCGGGCGGTGATGAACTGCAACTCGCGCAATATGAGGTGCAGCTCGCGGTGGTGGCTGCCCAGCCCGCCGCCGACGTCTTCCATCGTGGACGGCCGCACGAACGACCTCCGGAAATCCGTACGGAATATTGAACACCTGTGTTCATGCCTAAATTCAGTCAAGGGGTCTTGTAAACTCTCATTCTTGTGTTTAATTAGAAAATAGTTTAATGTCAGTTCCTTATTTTTGAATAGCTAGTTAGTTCCTTTCTTGAGAATTATTTTAAGAATTTCATAGAATCCTAAAATTCATTCACATGAAAGAAACTAGTTAGTTTCTTTCATCTTTTCTCTTTCAGTAAGAGTTATAATAAGTGTAGATGTTTACTACTTAGATTTGAACAAAATTTAGAAACACGGGAATAATATACTGTTTGTATGAACTATGTTATTTGTACCCTGTAATAACAGTGAACACATAGACAAGCACAGGACGTTTAACGATCTAGGCAAAAAAGGGATGTTTAATAAGTACCTAGTACACTCGATTTTATTTGAAAAACTTTACCTTACCTTAAAAATCTGGGAAATTCATAATATCTAAGTTCAAGATCTTAATCGCCTGTTTTAAGAAAGTTTTATTAATTTGACTATTAGAAAATATTTTTTCTAATAGTCGAATTCATTTACATTAAAACCATTGTTAGAAACTTACCCTGGTCCTAAGTTCCCTGTAGAGGCAGTGCTGTTAGGAGGTGGCGGCGCGTGTCTGAAATCGTCGTCGATGTCCAGAACATTCGCCAACAACGACTTAGAGGATCTCTCCTTCAACTCCAACTCCCTCATCCTGGTGTTCATCAGTATCGTCTTTCTCGTTATCTTCTTCCCTGGCCTTGACATCCTCAAAATCCAAGGCAGCCATTGCAAGAACACAGACTTTATCTAGTATAGGAAAGTCATAATATTTACGTCATCAATATAAGTAACTTTTAACATAAATAAAAAATACATAGCAATCTTAGCAGTTTTCTAATTTTTCTCCTAATACTTTTTTGAAATTTTTTACATATTAATAATCAAAAGAATAATGCAAAAAAATGTCTTACAGAGTTTAAGTTTCCCAACATTGGCAAATCTCTTATCTATTAGACAAGTCCGTCCGTCCGTCCGTCCGTGGTGCTGTTTCAACGGCTAAACCGTAAGAGATAGATAAAGAGAATGTTTAAGTTATAAGTTAAGAATAGTCTGATAAGACTACAAACCGGATTTGCGTAACGTAGCACTTCCGGTTTTCGAAAAATCACGTGATTTCTATTTCAAACGAAACCACACAAAATCTCCGAAGTTCTCAATTAATTAAATACATTTTTTTTTTTTTGGTGAACATTTGGTTCACTGGTTTGCTAGTATAATTGTAATTGCATATATTATATTTCTAAAAACAGCTCGAAATTTTTGACTTCACTACAGCTGATAAGCAGTTGTTTCCATCTACAATAAGCTGGAGTATTACCAAAAATAAAAATGATTAGCAAGATCTATTCTGCTAAGATATGGAAGGAGTAATTGACTTTATATACAAGAGCGGTTCGCAGCCGATGACATTACAACTGCAGTCGTCGGCTGTGAGCTGCTCGTTTATATGAAGCCTTAGACGTACCCATTGTGGCATCTCATGTATGTCGGCTGTCCGATGATGGTAATTTAATACCACAACCGTCAGTACCACCGAAGAAGCAACCATGAACATGATGCAGTTGAAGTAAGTTCCTGCCATATAAACAACACGGATTAATACGAGATGACTCGTCTTCAATGTAAAGGTTTCTGAATTTAGATGTTACTTTTATTCAAATGAATATTATTAATGCATGCTCAACTTTAAATTATTTATTTAAATTTCACATTAGGATTTACCATGAAAATAATGCTAGGATAAAATAAAATATATTTTTATTTATATTAATTTTACATTAGGGTTAATCATGAAAATAATGCAAGGATAAAATTAAATATACTAAGAAGAAACTAAAATATTTTTTATGGTGACATATTTTTCTTTATAGTATAAATCATTTCATTGTTTTGGTATTGTAAGCAAAAGATCATGCAGTGTTAAGCAATCATGCATTTAGTTTGCAATTCAGAGATATTTAATTTTGCCATATTTTCATAGTGTACGATTTACTTCCTCAATAAAATTATGCTAATTTTTAAATTCATAACCTACAATTTATAAGTTAACAATATCTATGTCAAACATAAATATCGCTGAATGCCCTTTTATCACATCTACGGTTATTTCAATGATTTATCTAATAGCTTTAAGATTAGCGTATCAATGAATGTTATTTATTGCGTTTTTTTGGTTGTGATAAAATAACACAGTAAGTAATATGACAAAGAAAGGAAAATCAAAAAACGCAATAAGCAAATGTATGCAGAAACGGAATTGATGTCTTACAAAAGAATCTTTTCCATCAGAAAAATATAATAGGAAAAGTTTCCTTCAGTATTTACCTTCTTATTATTTAGATACCGATTTGAGAGATTGCAAGACCTTCACTGCGAAACTGATAAAGGTCTTTTACAGTTTCCGCTATCGAGTAATCCTTTGTCAATGTCGCAGCAAGTTGATTTAATAAGTCAATTACAATGACAGAAACTATCCACAAAGTTGAATGGAACGATGTTCGGCAGATACTTGGAGGGTGGCCCCTCGACGCCCGCATCCACTTTGTTGCTTTAAACCACCGTTTAACTTTATATCCTGCTTTTAAACTACAAGCAAACCATAACCTACAATTTATAAGCTCATTTACATCCATTTTAATTAGGAGAGTTGTGCGTTGGATTGATTTTTAGCGTAAACAACATGCCATATAATCTGATCTGAAATTGGCAATCATGGCAATCGATCTACTTTGAAATCAGGCTAATCAAAAAAATTAAAAACAGAAAAAAAAGATTTTTGAATAGTCAAAACAATCGAAAGATGGACAGACGATGGAGAGGTATCAAGTTATTTTAATACATTACAAGAAGATAAAACTGTAATGGTAACGCACATGTATCTGCAAAGAGATTTTTACGTTTGAGTACATCTACTTATCGGTCTAGCGCGAACCGAAAGTGCAATAACTCTATTCAAAGTGCCGAGAGAGCTGGCAAGAACGCTGTAAAAGCATAGACTAGTCTCCAGAGACTGCGAGACTCTAATATGCGAGTTGAGAACAGGACAGAGAAAGGATGCTATGTTCTCCTTTAGTTTAATTTCATTCAAGCAAAAAAATCTGCAATCTATTTAGATCTTTGTTAAAATGGTGTTCCAAGAATGAGCAGAGGAATATTTTGTCTTCTGGCATCAGTATATGAAAATTAAATCAGGAATCGAAAATATTCCTCACAACACATTCTTTGGTCTCATTATATATTTTTTGTTTAGAAAATATTCCATTCACATGATCAAATTTCATCTTTAAATTTTATTTATTTTTTATTTTAGCCAAAAGTTTCGTGTCAAACGCGTGGCATTTTCTCACCTATCAGGGGGATCGCCTCTGAGGTTTTTGTGATTACGTGCCCCACCAATAGAGAAAAAACAGTTTGCGACAGAAGAATTGTAACACCTGCAAAGATCAATATAATATTCTATAAAAACAAAACGTTCTATTTACAAGTTAATGACTAGAACCTAAAGTTATAATAAGTGTTCCATCCAGTTCGGCACTTATCGGGTCAAGTACATGGTCTCATTTCCTGTGTGCTGAGTCGGTACCAGGAGCTCAAGTGAAATCATAAACAAAACAAAATAATCATGCAAATTCTATTTAGAGAGGGATTTACTAGTTATTTATTATTGTTTTTTTATTTAAAATATTGTTTAGTCTGTTGGTTCAGAAGGGTATTTTTATTTATATTTTATTATGTCTCACCAGAGTCACCACCCTCCAAGTATCAAATCCACAGTAGGTACGTGGCACATAAATCGATTGGTGATATTGACAACATCCATACAATACATCCAAATTTAACACAACATGGAATCGATTGCGTGAATACAACTCACACAAATTTGTAGAATAGAAAAATGTGTATCACGGAAATTCAATTAAGTAACATTGAGAAATTAAACACTCAACTTACCTTGCGGATCCAAATTAGCTAAATCATCTTTTGTATACAGTGAGATAATTGTAAATCACATGCCATGCTACTGATTTTGTAATATAAGATGTGTTACTCAAACAAAGAAAACAATAATTAATCGATAAAGCCTAAAAGCAATCACAAAGAGAATCACGAAATCGATTCCAGGATACCATGTAAATGTGAAATAATATAAAATTAAAATAATTCGCGATAGTAAATTCTTGTATCGAGCTGCCAATAAATTAATTTTCGTTTCGAAAATAACGAAAATGCATGAGTACTTCCAAAAAGCAAAGCATGATTTAAATGTAATAATAAAATACAAATATTTTATATCATATTTTCACAAGTCATTCACATATACAATGAAATGAAAACTGAATTACTTTACTAACGTTACAATTTGTACCTGACTATTTAAAATACTTAGATCACTTCTTGTAATGATTTAAAATAACGCTTTAATCATTTTTTTATGAAATAAAAAGTACCATAACTAGAGCAGAACACAAAAAGAGAGAATAAAAAAACAAAATAAATACATGAAATTCGTAGTAATGAAGAATAAAGTAAAATGGGAGAAGAGGAGGGAAAAATTACGGAAAGGCTTGGGTAGTGTACCTAACAGGGGGATTGCGTCGGAGACCTGCGGCAGAGTCTCGGCTACCAGGTTGAGGAATACCGTCAGCGAGAGAAGAATAGTGACTCCTGTAATCAAACACAATGTTAACACCCCCACAGATGCCTCTACGCACCCTGACCAAGATACGCTAGAACACAACTCTCCAATTCCACAATCGCATCAAACTTTATTATATAAAATCTGTAAACCCCCTAACACGATGAATGTGAAATTATGATTGCTGAATGATATCTACACCGAATATACTTACCAGAAGTAGCAACGTGGTACTCAGGGTAGGCTAACACAAATACAAACAGCCATACCACATTCTAAAGATGATCTAATATTAATGCGAAGCGCACGGTGCTTCCGACCTCCTTTAAAAGTTTTATAGTCCCGCCGGCTCAGTCAATGAGCGAGGTCTTATAGGAATCCTATAGGACCGAGCCTATTGATTACTGCATTAATTTATATAAAATATGTTTTATAATCTAAGTAAAATATTACTAAAAAATAAACCACTCAGTCCAGGTTTCAGGCGAGATTTGAACCTGCATCTTCCTCTATCCAGGCGGAGAAGAATTAAACTTATAGCACTTAAATTCTTAAAAAATAAAGGATATAAATAATCTATATTTTATAAATTAATGCAGTGCATTATATTCATTGTAAACTTGTGCTTCAATTGTTTTGATTCCACTTTAATTTAGCTTCAGGGGTGACGACGATGTAAAGTAAACGAAATTCTATTTAGTCCGTCAGTTAGATGATCAAAAAATAATGGACACGTATATACTTTGGTCAATCAACCAAAAAATGACAAAGATAAAGCGCGTCAAAGTTTGGGAGTGGGGCATCGTGACGTCACTTTTAAATAAAAATTGTACCAAAACGTGACGTCATGCGACTTTTCCAATCAATATATCTATGTAATGTTTTGATTATTTGAAAAAAGAAAAAATGCGTGTCTAATACTTTTTGATAATCTACCTGATACACGGAGATAAAAAAGTTAATCGTCATCCCTAACTTTTCAACAATGTTTTAACATGTTTAGTTGAAATATAAGAGATCATTGAGGGACGCTTACATTGGGAGCATCGTGCGCTATTTGCATTTAGTGTCACCTACAGTGCGATACCTATGAGAGGCACGGCATCCGATGTAGAAGGCATCTTTTCAGCCACCAGGTTCAGAAATACGGTCAAGGACAATAATATTGTCACACCTGTAGACACCAGCATCTACTTCAGATCTTAAGCTATAGGTTGTATCTTATACTGATAAGGAATCGAGTTTGGTTCGCTAGAGTATTGGTATTAGGCAGCGTATTATATTTTTAAATCCAGTAACGTGAATGAATGAAATTATAGCCTAGCAGTTAAATTGAATATTTGGGTCAGCTTGCATAATCAAAATGGCAGTGGACTATCGTGAAATCTCATAAAGTATCGATACAAAACGGCGCTGACTGCATGTCGCGTATATCATAATTTTAAAAGCACACTAGAGATAAATAACAGATATTAGGATTTAGATCAGCGTCATAAAATTAGCACCACAAAACAGGTTCATGTTGTCATTTTGTGCAAACCTATAAAGTCACAGAAAATACAATACTATCGAGCGCACCACATTAAGTGAAGAATTGTTTTCTCAAAGCACGTTTTGTCAAAATATCTGATAATCCAAATTGTTTATAATCATCTTCTAACCTTATCAAAACCTGTAAATGTGTAATTACTTTAATTTCATGTAAACTTTCCTAGCTTTACAATTTTGAAAAATAGAAGCAACATCGATTCGCCTAAACGTGCTTTAAAAACAATGCTTCGATAAAATCAAGGCGCACCATAGAATAGATTTAAATCCGATTGACATTATTCACAAAACTGGGAGATTTTAGTTAAGATAAACAATGCGGCGTCCCCGTTAGCACTATAACTAGTGAAACTTATATTAAAAAAATCAAACCCAACTGACCGAGCGTTAGCTTCTCGCCGGAGTCTGGAGGGAGAGTGAACCCTAACAGGGCCATGGAGGAGATGAGGACACAGGGCACGATGAGATTGAAGAAGTAGTAGAGCGTCCTTCGTCTGATCATGATCGTAAACGTCACGTCAACATAAGGCTCGGGGCAACACGCGTACGTTATCGTGTTTTTCTTGCCCGGCATTCCTGTTGAATAAAATGGTTCAAAGCTGTTCAATTTCTCTGAAGTCTGGATACAAAAATCTTTGCTTCAAAATAGTTTCTATAAAATCATTATAATTACTTAAATTGTTGATACACGATATAAATAATCTTAAAATGTAGTTTTTAGAATCTGAAAGTTTATGCCAAAGGTCTACATTCAAAAAGATACTTGATAAGATAATAATATTCCTTACCTATTAAATACCACTCTCCATTCGTGATGAAGTCTGACAAATCCCCTCCTGCCTCATCCTTAAGCACCAGATCCAACTGTCAGGGCATAACAGTATGAAATCTCGAACAAATTTAACAAGAATAATTATTCTAGATACGGGCCATGCCTGGATTTTAACAGTTACTCTGCTTGAAGAATATAAAAAAATCCCCCTTTTAAATAAATAAATTATGATACTTATTTTTCTTCAAAAAGAGTTTCTGTTTATATCACATGCTGTCATTGTAGGAATACTTTTGTATTGTTGAAGTATTCGAACCCAAATTTATAGTAACAGAAAAGGGAAATGTGAGAACCTGAAAAAGTGCAAGACAAAGGGATGATTCCTTAACTAAAAGGATGCATAGCATGCTGAAGAAGATAATGAAAAAGGCACCACCATACGGAATACACTCTCAAAGTTAGCTAGATTAATTTTATGCGTGAGATTTTCAGTATTTTTTTGTATTTCAATGCGATAAAATAAAATTACTGAAATCCACACATAAATCTTAAGGTTCATAATAAAATGGCAATAAAAATAACCTAATTCTTAAGACTACGATCTAGATGCTTATATTTAATTATATAGTTCCTGGAAACTTAAAAGCTGTTAGCTTAATAAAAGACAGTATGTGAAATATTAAATTAAAAGCCTGTACGAGCTAGATTTAACGTTGAGTAGCAGCAGGAAAGAACAAACTAGACATGACGGGCTTCCTAGGGAACAATCACGGGAGACTGGGGAAATTACGAGACGCAACATGGTAAGCCACAGTGACGCGCTCTCGGACCACACCGCTAACGGCTTTTAATTTTAAAATGGCACGTGCACGCCGATAATATAAAGCTAAACTTATACATAGTAACTTCTCTATTAGAAACTAAGCGTTCATTTAAACCTCATTCCAGAACATGCAAGCTAAATTTGTTGGAAACTGGTTTTAGAACACAAAAGCGTTTAGATTCTTAATGATATTTTTTGTATTTACGGCTAGAATATAATGTCCATTTTTAATGCAAGCTTTTTGCCTTTTATAGTTAATTATAGATTGGTATCTAAAAAGTGTGTCCGTATGGCAGTGGAAATTGTGTACCCTTATAAATATCTCAAAGTGCTGCACGTGAAGAAAACATTTGTTTGCTCCATGCAAAATAGTACATACAAAACGTATAGGATATTTGATATCCTTTTGGTTTCTCACATGGTTCCCTTACATTTTCCTATCAAAAAATTTCATAGTGTTTCTAACGTTATCCACCTAACATTTTGTAATATCAACTGCTATTACATGTATACCCTTTCCTTTTGATACGAAGCCAACTTGCTGTTTAAAGGCATGCTAGCTAGTTGGTAATGACATGTCGTTACTAGCAGGAAGGATACCAGCAGTATTTTGCTAGCGTGCATCAGATTTTGCAAGTTGGCAACAGTCCAGAAACAAAAGCGAAACGCGATTAATACCCGTTACATTAGAAATTAGGCAAAGGATACTGAAATACATGTATATAGCAGACCGTCAATTCTCGTGTGTTTGTCTTAACGTTTCAGGGACACCGATTTTCTATTAAAAAGGTTAATAAACGAGAGATGAATTTTAATCTAACATTATCACGTTTCATAAGAAGAATTTTTGAAATACAAATAGAAGAGCTTATTATCCCTAATTACCAAAATCACATAAAATTCCGGTAATTAGTTATACATTGGTCAAGCAAGCTCTCCTATTTGATTCAGCGTCCTTGGGACGTTTTTATAATTAACGGAACGAGAACTGACATTATAGCTAAGCGATTCTATTCGGCATACGATGTACCTGGTTGCCATCGTAGGTCCAGCTACCGAACTTCATGTCACAGTGTTGGTCGTCGAAGGGGAACCACGTGATGTCTATCTTGCATGTGCTCTTGAAAATGCCCGGAGGCACGTACAAGCAACTGCCGTTGTTTCTGACCACCACGTTGGTCTGGTACGTCCCGTCAAAACCCTCGTCAGCACTACCGATAAAAAGTTCATCATTCGCTTACCCATCTCGTCTAACTAACTCGTAACCTTCAAAATTTAAAACCTCGTTCAAGTTTATGTTTTTTGAATCATCAAAATTTTGAAACAAATCGAATAACCAAGATATTTCAAGTGTTAAAACCGCTGCTGACCCTTATCAAGTGCCCGGTAATCTCAAACAAATGGTATTCGAAAGTATCTTAAAGAATAATAATAGGCTTTTAAAATTTCATTAAAAAGTTTATATCGGAGTTAGAAGCGATCGGCTGGCGTTTAATCAGAAAAGTAATTCCAAATTGTGCGAAGAAGATTTGACATTTTTATTGATAAAATTATTTCAATTATAAAGAAGTTTATTAGATTTTTTATATGTACTTATATAGTGAGTGTGCAGTTTTGAGAAAGCCACTTATTTATTAAAACTATTTTTATTTAAGCTGATTTGAAAGCGTTAAGAGAAGTACGATGCTCTAAATATTTAGACTTGATTAATTTGATTTATAGTGCCTCGGATTTATCTGGGACTATTTTATACTGTAATGTCAACGATAAAATTTACAGAGGAAAATATTTTAGTTAATTTTACTATCAACATTACAGAACTTCATCCTCTCGCTTCGCCGAACCAAAGAATAAATAAATTGTTCTTTCTCTTTTTTATTATGTGAAAGGACAGAATTTATTTATTTCTCATGAGTTTGATTTTGTGCGAATTTATTGACAAAGCTTTTGGATAATCTTTTATGATTTATAAGTCAAGACCAATTCAATTTATTAACTTGCTTGATACAATAACATAACTCGGGTTAATAAAGTATCAATACATGTTTCAGCAACATTAAAAAAATAATCAGTTTTATCTGAAAACAATAAAACTTAATAATTAACATATTTTTTTTCTATTCTATGTTTCTGCTGCCCATGCTGGCATGTGTAAATATTTATGCAAGTATATCGTGTGAGAGGTAAACTAAAGTCCCCCTATTTTCAATACTATTTTAATTGACCGAGTTATACATTACTTTATGGGCACTTCATATTTTTCTGTTATAATAGTTTACCCATTCTTATTTCGCACAATAGCTTCAAACTTCAAGAGATTATTATACAAATATAATGGCCTGACAAGCGGGAGAATGATCGTGGTGTCTCAAATCAGCGACTAGCGTGCCATGTACGTTTATATTCATTTTTATCTGTGGCAGCACCGAGTAGGAGGAACATAAGGACCACGCGAACGATTGTTACTTACAAAAAAGGGAAAATAAAAATAAAAACAGAACAATAAAGTACCAATCGTCACAATCGGGATTCACCTCCTACTGTGCTGTCACTGTTCTGAAATTGTTTTATGTAAAGAAATAAATATTTATTTTAAAAGTATCCAAACGAAACAATAGGACGTACAGGTTTAGCTGGCATTTACATTAGAGCGTTAAATAATGGAAAATAAAATATAGAAGCATAATCTTTGCCTTATTTACGCTCACTGTTAATGTTAGATAAATACATATAGATAAGAAAGATTTCTTAAAAATAATCAGTTACTTATAAGTTACCAAATAATGACAAGGAAAACAGTTCTATGTTGTTAATATTAAACAAATTGCCGGTTGCTCCACTATACAACAACTATGACTGTTTCCTTTGTCATTTCTTTGCCAACTCGAAGAAGAATTAAATATGAGGTCACATTCATAATGCATACATTACCCAAAATAGTATTACAATGGTTTACATTTTAGCGAAAATGTTATATACTGTTATTTAAAACATTTCCCAGGTGAAAACTCTGAAACTGTTCAGAGAAAACCATTATTAAAATCATATTTATTCACAAAAATCAAACCAAAAGCACTTTGTATTAATTTGACGTTAATTAATAAATAAACAATCAACATTAATCAAATCAAAGAAGGTTAAATAATTAACTTATAATTTAATAAATAATAATTAATTAATAATAATAATTAATAATAATTTTACTTTTAATTTAATCTTCTTTTAGCATATGGACTTTATATTTAGCCCAAAATAAAATGATAATTTACTCGGGTCGGTTGTCTTTATATTTATTAATATAAAGTCAATTTCTACTTTTATCAAATAAAAAGAAAAAAGTTTTATTATGAGGTTCGAATAGCTACTGAAAGTATATTTATCAATATATCTATACAAATATAATGGATAATTCTTCATATATATCGGAATATATGATATTCGAATAGAACAGAAATCGTGTAGTTCCATGTAGACGAAGCTAATCAGAAACCATTTAACTGACTTGAATAAAAAAGGATGTAATTTATTATATTCGTCGTGCATGTATTCATTATGTGAGTGATATTTTCGGAAATTATGAACCACTTTTCAAAATTCTTTTTACTACAAATGTTCGCTTTGCAAGTAAAAGTCAGTAAATATGTTCAGCATTTAAATTATTCAAACATAAACAAATTGAGAAAAGTGGAAATTTAATAATAATACGCCTCTCCAGATGCACGCCACTCAGATCGATCTTGGGCTACTCGCATCCAGCTCCTGCCAGCCACCTTGCGCAATTCGTCACTCCATCGTGCCTAAGGACGTCCTACACTACGTTTGCCTAGACGCGGTCTCCACTCCAGAACTCTTCTACCCCAGCGGTTATCCGTTCTTCAGCAAACATGGCCAATCCACTGCCACTTCAGCTTGCATATCCGGTGGGCTATGTCGATAGCTCTGGTTCTCTGTCGGATTACCTCATTTCTAATGCGATCCTTCAGAGAAACACCGAGCATAGCCCTTTCCATAGCGCGCTGAGCGACATTGAACTTGTGGACCAGCCGTACCGTCAGTGTCCACGTCTCGGCCCCGTGACGAAAGGTCTTTAGGCACTGTGGGATAGACAATGTCAGGTCTTGATGTAGCTTCCCAAATGCTGCCCAACCTAGCTGAATTCTTCTATTCACGTCGTCCTCAAAGTTGTTTCTACCTAACTGCAATGTCGGCCCGAGGTACACATATTTTTAAACAACTTCGAGAACGCCACCGTGTATTGCAATCGGTTCCGGTAGAACATGTTCATTGAATATGACCATGGATAAAACCATCAAAGTTCATCCGTAGCGTGCGTATAGAAGAGTCAGCCAGGTCACTCAGCATTTTTGTAGGTCCTGCTGTCTTGCTAAATTTCGTAACTGAAACTGATAAAATTGAATGAAAGTAGATTCCCCTTAATAATTTTGTGATAGAAAGCTTTTGTTGCATCCTTGCAAGGATACGAGGCGTCCCTCAGCTTTGCCTCATGAATATGTTTTGTTTAAAAAACTTAGTTTTAAACTCGTTTAGGGATCAACTACGGAGTTATTTCTTATACCAACAATGAAAAATTTTTATTTCACCCTTTCTCTTTCCTTCTCTAGATATATATGTTTCCTTGTCATTGCTAATTATTATTATTTACTGTTACACCCCTCCTTGACTTCTTTATATTTATTTATCTTCTATTATGGGTTGCATGGAAAATCTTGCTGCCTAGCAATAAGGTCGCCTATATTGTGTCTTGTCTTGTGTAGCAATAAAAAATATTATTATTAATCTCCCGTCGACACGACACAACACAAATGTCGCCACTAGTGTCGACTGCGTCCATACGGTAAACATATGTTTGCGATATCTAGTGTCCCGGTTCAAGTGTATTGGCTGTCTGTCACACGTGCTGTTTCCACGGCTGCGACACCGACACTGATCAACCACGCCGCTACATCTGCAACTAAATGTCGCGGCAGTGGATACAAAGAGACAGTCGATGTACACACTAAGTGTCTAGTATCTGGTGTCATCGTGTTTTTTTACCATTAGACACCAGAGAGTATTCTACAAAAGAAATTAAAATTTCGGAACAATTAAAAGATAAACGGTTTGCTCTTATGGCCAGTCGTAAAATTAAAACAAGACCCTTGGTTTAACTGCAATTTGTCTGCGACGCCGGAGCGCGAGCAGGCGGCTACAATATTAAATCTTCACAAAGTAATATCAGGGAGGGACGAGAATGGATTCTCTTGCTCGCTCGCCACTATTTAAATGATCGCAAGTTTATTGACGGCTTTAATGAGAATCATTTATTCACGTCTCACGTTTCAACTGTACCCGTATAATAATAACCCTTTGTTATGAACAGGTATAAAACAATTCGAGTAAAATAAAGTAGGACTTAAAGGATAATATAATACTTATTGTAGGCGAACTGCCGCTGTTTCCACAACATGAAAAAACCATTAAGTCGAAGCCTATTTTTGGACACATGAGTGAATTTGTGATTTTATTATACAAAAGTCGAATAAGAAATACTAGAAAATAAATATTATGTTAACTTAATGAATAATGTTAGTGGAGTTCTGTTGCTTGATCGCTGATGCGAAAGACCAATGTGGCGCGCCACCCATCGTTATAGGGGTTTAAGCACTGAACCACTCGCTGACCGAAACACAATACCACTTAAATGTATTATTATTATTAAGAGGAATATTGATACTATTAATTCCAATTCATTCTACTGATTTCTTTTCCTATTCCTTCTCTGTCAGTTCGTCTATGGAAATCATTGCCAGAAACAATTCGAAAGGCTCGCACTCTGAACTCTTTTAGGGATCAAGTTCGGAGTTATTTCCTATCCCAACAATTATGTTAAATTTTTACTTCATCCTCTCTTTCCTTCCTTAGATATACCTGTTTTTCCTGCCATTGATATCAGTTATGTTTTTCTATAATAACCCTACTTAACTCCATCATATTTATTTATCTTTCTATTATGGTTTGCCTGGAAGAGATTGATGCCTAGCAATAAGGTCGCCTATATTGTGTACGTTCTATTTATCATGTTTTAATTTTCTAGTGTGTTTTTCTATGGTGTATAACAATAAAGAATATTATTATTATTATCATTTTAATTTATTATGGCAAGACTATTGTCAGTATCCACTATCTCTCTTGACTGAGCAGAGGGTATGAA